GCATTTCTATATACCAAGAATGAAGCAACAAAAAGAGAAATCAAGGAATCAATCCCGTTTACAATTGCACAAAAACCCATAAAATGCCTAGGAATAAACCTAACCAAAGAGGTGAAAAATCTATACACTGAAAACTATAGAAAGCTTATGAAAGAAATTGAAGAAGACAGAAGAAAGCAGAAAAATATTCAATGCTCCTGAATAGGAAGAACAAATATTGTTAAAATGTCAATACTACCCAAAGCAATCTACATATTCAATGCAATACTATCAAAATACCACCAGCATTTTTCACAGAGCTAGAAACACAATCCTAAAATTTGTATGGAACCAGAAAAGACCCCAATTAGCCAAAGCAATCCTGAAAAAGAAAACCAAAGCTGGAGGCATGACAATCCCAGACTTCAAACTACATTACAAAGCTGTAATCATCAAGACCATCAAGACAGTATGGTACTGGCACAATAAAAGACACTCAGATCAGTTGAACAGAATAGAGAACCCAGAAAGGGACCCACAAATGCATAGCCAACTAATCTGACAAAGTAGGAAAGAATATCCAATGGAATAAAGACAGTCTCTTCAGCAAGTGGTGCTGGGAAAACTGGACAGCGACATGCAGAAGAATGAACCTGGACCACTTTCTTACACCATAGACAAGAATAAACTCAAAATCAATGAAAGACCTAAATATAAGACAGGAAACCATCACAATCCTCCAGGAGAAAGCAGGGAAAAACCTTTTTGACCTTGACTGCAGCAACTTCTTACTCAACACATCTCTGGAGGCAAGGGAAACAAAAGCAAAAATGAACTATTGGGACCTCATCAAAATAAAGCTTCTGCACAGCGAAGGAAACAATCAGCAAAACTAAAAGGCAACCGACAGAATGGGACAAGATATTTTCAAATGACATTATCAGATAAAGGGTTAGTATCCAAAATGTATAAAGAACTTATCAAACTCAACACCCCAAAAACCAAATCATCCAGTGAAGAAATGGGCAAAAGACATGAATAGACACTTCTCCAAAGAAGACATCCAGATGGCCAACCAACACATGAAAAAATGCTCAACATCACTCACTAAGGAAATACAAATCAAAACCACAATGAGATACCGCCTCACACCGTCAGAGTGGCTAACGTTAACTCAGGCAACGACAGATGTTGGCGAGGATGCAGAGAAAGAGGATCTCTTTTGCATTGTTGGTGGCAATGCAAGCTGGTGCAGCCCCTCTGGAAAAAAACTATGGAACTTACTCAAAAAATTAAAAATAGAACTACCCTCCAACCCAGCAATTGGACTACTAGGTATTTATCCAAGGGATACGGGTATGATATTTCAAAGCGGCACACGCACCCCAATATTTATAGCAGCACTATCAACAATAGCCAAAGTATGGAAAGAGCCCAATGTCCATCGATGGATGAATGGATAAAGAAGATGTGGTGGGTGGGTGGGGGGGGGGGGGGGGGGGTGTGTGGGTGTGTGTGTGGGTGTGTGTGTGTGTGTGATACACACACACCCCACACACACCCACACACACAAACATTGGAGTATTACTCGGCAATCAAAAAGAATGAAATCTTGGAAGCCTGGGTTTGCATGAGTCGGTTAAACTTCAATCATCTCAGCCAGGTCACGATCATCTCATGGTCCGTGAGTTCGAAGCCCCGGCCGGGCTCTGGGCTGATGGCTCAGAGCCTGGAGCCTGTTTCCGATTCAGCATCTCCCTCTCTCTGCCCCTCCCTGTTCATGCTCTGTCTCTCTCTGTCCCAAAATAAACTGAAAGCGTTGAAAAAATTTAAAAAAAAAAAGAATGAAATCTTGCTGTTTGCAGCTATGTGGATGCAACTAGAGGGTATTATGCTAAGCAAAATTAGTCATAGAAACACAAGTATCATAGGACTTCACTCATACGAGGACTTTAAGATAAAAAAGAGATGAACCTAATGGAAGGGAAGCAAAAACAATACAAAAACAGGGAGGGTGACAAAACATATGAGACTCTTAAATATGGAGAACAAACAGAGGGTTGCTGGAGGGGTTGCGGGAGGGGGGATGGACTAAATGGGTGAGGGGCATTAAGGAATCTACTCCTGAAATCACTGTTGTACTATATGCTAACTTGGATGTAAATTTAAAACACACACACACACACACACACACACAATATGATACCATCTGGGTAAAACATGCATTCATACTGCAATATACCACTTTTTCTGGAGAACTATCTCAAATACACAAATAGGCCAAAAAAAAAAAAAAAAATGTATTGACCAAACAGAGAAATGCAGTTATTCTTACAGTGGTGGCCAACAGGGATTTGGCCCAAATAATAAATGTATATAAAGATTAAAATAAGCTACTGCAGAATAAGGTATTAATATTTTCTTTAGTAAGGGAAAGATATTAAATATGATTGCCACCCTAACTGTATTTTCCAGATCCTGATGCTTTGAGAGAAATGTAGAAGACTTCTTATATCTAAAGATTCTATGCTGGATAGAAGAGAGTTTATGCTATAATTCAAAATTCTTGAGGTTTAAAATCCACACAGTAAACAAACACATTCGTTTGAAAACAGTCTATGATTACTGAAAATGATTATGTTCTCCATTGTGCCCAAATCGTTCATGCACCAGCCAATGCGAGGGTGGGTAGAAAGAAGAAAGAGAGACAGCTCCCATCTTCGAGCAACCTAGAGATTAATGGAACGCACACATTCAGATCTGAAAACATAACGGGATACATGCCATGAACTGGATATACAGGGAGACACAAGAGCATACAGGACATATGGAAGGAAAGGAGGAATTAAGTAGACAGAATGTGTGTTGTGGGGAAGAAGGCAATGATCCAGGCCAAGGATACAGGTACAAGTGCAGGATAAAAGGGAACATAAAGTAAGGCACCTAGGGGCACAGTTGGTTAAGCATCCAACTTTGGTTCAGTTCATGATCTCAGAGTTTGTGAGTTTGAGCCCTATTATCAGGCTCTCTGCCGTCAGCACAGAGCCCACTTCGGATCCTCTGTCCTCCTCTCTCCCTGTCCCTTCCCCACCCACCCCCTCAAAAATAAAAAGGGAACATAAAGGACCCCACTTGGATGTGGGTAGTATAGTTGAAAGAGAGGAGGGAGACAGAGCCAGACTACGCCAGGCTTCAAAAGCCAGGGTAAAGAATTTGGATTTTATTTTAAAGATACTGGGAGGTCACGCAAATGTGGTTTTAAACACAGGACTGACATGATAAGTTCTGTTTTTGCAGAAGGATCTTCTGACTGCAGGGCGGAAAATGGGAGATAGGAGTAGTAAGCTTGTCAAAATGTAATCTGGGCTCCTACACCGTGGAGGTGACAGCGGCACAGAGAATTGGAGACAAAACAGGTATGGTTTGGATTCAATTGATGGAGAAAATAAATATGTTCAGCTGTCCCGGCTGGAGAGAGAGGAACTTGGCAAATTTCTTTTAAGTGTGTCTTGTTTTAATGTTAACCATCTTCTTTTATAGATTACAATCCTTTATCTGTATCCCCAAATCCAAAAAGCTCTGAAAATGGACAGGAGTTCTGTACAATGGCAACAAAACCTGATTTGAATTAACAGGAGGTTGGCCATCTTGCCCTATCCTGTTCCGAAAGAATATTCTATATACTGCACTGTAGAAATACCAGCATCTGTGAATATGGGGTACAACTGGAAAAGACAGTAGGTTCGTTAGGTAACAGATGCTGTATGTACTATGCTGCCTTTAAAAAATCTGAATTCAGCAACACATTTGGCCCCAGGGTTTCTATGAAGAATTGCAGATGGCAAGTTGGCCATATTCACTTTCCAGATTTAACGGTCGCTGAGATCATGCTGATACCCAACTCTAGTGACCATACAGATCATAAATTTGTACCTGTGTTTGGTAGGGGAGGTGGGATATGGGAAAGTCAATTATTATTCTTGATTGTGTGATTCTGGAGTAGAGAATGCATATGTGCATTTTAATGGCTGACCTTTAGACACGCATCAAGTAAGAGTAGAAGCATTCACTTTCAGGGAGTTTTCTTGCCACTATAGATCAAGTGCTACAAGCCTTAACCTCATGTATCCATTCCCCTGGGGAATGATACTTGTTTCTAACAAGCTGTCTGCTAGAAGCGGCCAGAGGCATCAAAAGGAATCAATCCCAGGCCTCTATCAACATTCATTCATTTTTTAAAAATATTCATTGGCACAGCACTCTGCTAGGGATTTGGAGACAATAAATGACATGTGATTCCAAACTTTTCTCAAGGAAGTTGTTCCAAAGAAGATGTTTCATAAATGTTTGTTAAAATAGTAAACTAGATATAAAGAGAATGTAAGTCTGTAACATTAAATATGAGTTGAGAAAATCAGGGTGCTAATCGCTTTGGAATTGAGAGCTTGAGATCAGGGAGAAAATTGTGTCTAGGGAAGCAACTGCTTTTTTTTTTAATATATATTTTTTTAATGTTTATTTACTTGTGAGAGAAAGAGATAGAGAGAGAGGCATGAGCAGGGGAGGGGCAGAGATGGAGACACAGAATCCGAAGCAGGCTCCAGGCTCTGAGCTCTCAGCACAGAGCCTGACGCGGGGCTCGAACTCACAAACCATGAGGTCATGACCTGAGCTGAAGTCAGACGGTCAACTGACTGAGCCACCCAGGTGCCCCAGGAAGCAACTGCTTTGATGCACACGATTTGGATAGACAGTTGGAAAAAAAAAAAAAAATCAAAGCCTATCTCCCTGATGGTCCAGTAACAGAATTCCCTACTAGTACCTGTTGGGAAATATCATTAATTAACTTCCCTTATCCACCAAGCAATTTGTAGAGTTACAATTGTGTTCATTTTCAGAGCAGCACTAACCTAGAATCAGCCTCATATTCCTTGAGTTGCAAGGACTGTAAAGCAAGGAGGTTCTTGGTAGTTTTAGGCACTTTTTGCAGGATTGGAGAAAATGGACCAGAAAGGTCTTACCTTCAACGCAAGAAGGCTGGGCCCGAGTTGTGCCAGCAACCTGTCCTGGGAAGCAGGAACACTTGACTGTTTGCGATCGCTCTTCTATGCGGTTCTTATTACAGCACCTGTGCACAGCGACCACCTCACAGGTCCCTTGCTTGATTTGGTGGTGACCTGATGGATAAAGGGGGAGAAAAACAAACGCGGCACTGTGAGGAAAAAATGAAGCTACCACATAGACGAATGATGCCATGACTACATTTTCTAACTTCCTGTTCTATGCTTAGGAATCTTTATAACTTTTCCCTTTCATATAATTTCAAATATATATAAAGGTGGTATGAATAATGCAAAAAAAAAACCAAACTCCTATGAACCTGTGGTAGTCAGAAATTCAGCCCCCAGGACCTTCAACTCCTAGTATCACAGCCACAGCTAAATTATGTTATTTACATGGCAAAAGAGATTTTGCAGATATAATTTAAATCACTAGCTGGTTAGCGGCACCTGGGTGGTACAGTCTGTTAAGTGTCTAACTCTTGAGCTTGGCTCAGATCATGATCCCGGTCAGTGAGTTCAAGCCTCCCATTGGGCTCTGCACCGATGGCTCAGAACCTGCTTGGGATTCTGTCTCTCCCTCTCTCTGCTCTTCTCCCACTTGCACATGCATGCTCTCTCCCCTCTCCCCCTCAAAAATAAACATTTAAAAATTAAAAAAAAACTTTTTTAACATTTATTTATTTCTGAGAGACAGAGCACTAGCATGAGCATGAGCAGGAAAGGGGCAGAGAGAGAGGGAGACACAAAATCCAAAGGAGGCTCCAGGCTCTGAGCTGTCAGCACAGAGCCCAATGTGGGGCTCAAACTCACCAGTGGTGAGATCATGACCTGAGCCAAAGTCAGACACTTAACAGACTGGGCCACCCAGGCGCCCCTAAATTTTTTTTTTAAATCACTAACTCGTTGATCTTAAGAGAAGGAAATTATCCTGGATTGTCCAGATAGGGCTGATGTGATCACATGAGCCCATGAAAGCAGACAAATGAAGCAGAAGGGGAAGTCAGATTGAAAACAGAAACACTCAAAACACCACTGCTGCCTTAAAGACAGAGGGTCAAAAGGCAAGAAAATGGTGACTTCAGTCCTACAACCACAAGGAACTGAGTTCGGACAACAAACTGAATACATGTGGAAGCAGATTCTTCCTCAGAGCCTCCATAAGTAAAGCACTCCTGCTGATACTTTGATTTTAACCCAGAGGTCAGACTCTGAGCAGAGGAACCAGCTAGTGTGCCAAACTTCTGTCCTACAGAAATAAGCCCCTAAACTTGTGGTCACTGGTCACAGCAGCAATAGCAGAATAATATAATACCTTATGTGTAGGTTCACCATTGTTAACATGCAACCCTATTTGCCTTGTCATTACCTCTCTTTCATGTATCTTTCTGAACCATTTGAGAGTCAGTTGCAGACACGATACCCCTTTACCCTTAAATAACACCTGAGAGTGTGTTTTCTAAGAACAAAGACATTCTCTTACATAATTACCAAAATCAGGACATTTGATGCCGATACAATGCTATTACATAATGCTATTATATAATCTACAGGTTTTCCAGGTGTCCTAATAATGTCCTTTATAGCCATTATTCCCCCTGTTCAGGATCCAACCCAGGGACCTATGATGTATTTCGTTCTCACATTTCTTTAGCCTTCTTTAATCAGCTAATACTTTTCAGCCTTTATCTTCCCTAACCTTGACATTTTTAAAGAATACATGCCAGTTATTTTGTAGACTGTCCCGCAATGGTTCCTATGGCCCTGGTCAAGTCTTCAAAGATTCCAACCCCAGCCGACAGCTAACTGCAATCAGACAACCCTGAAGCAGGTCCACCCAGCAAAGTCACACCCACATTTCTGATAATGAGAGAAGAGACTGTATGAAATAATATTTGTGGGTTGTTTTATGCTTCTAGGGTTTAGGCTAATTTGTTACAGAGCAATAGATAACTAATACACTAATTCTGGCTATACCAGGATTGGAGAGACTTACCTCTGCTCTGATAAAAACAATGTAAACAAGTTTGTGGAGGCAATGTGTAGAAATTATTAATAAAAGACAACCTTTTCAAGCCCCCTTGAGCACTCTCAATTTTCACACGTACTATTTACATATAAATTGTTCCGTGAATTACAAGCAATCTCATCTACTCATTAAAACAGGTTTCCCCAAAGACTGTCAGGGACTAATGCTCTGCTTGCTTTCTGTTGTTTGGTACATGGCCTTCAAATCACAAAACTGGCTTAAAAATGTGAATTAGGCAATGTTTTTAATCGATAAAGTTAGCCCTTCCACAAAACAACCTCTATATTATTCTGACAAGTTTCTCACCCTTCCTCTGCATACTGTGCTAACTGTCGGTGGAAGCAAACTTCAAAATTACTGGCAAGAACAAATACTAAGGCAAAGTTTCATTTGTAAAACACATAAAAGCAGAACCAGTTCCCAGAGAATCAAACCACCATCATGAGAGAGAGTTTTCAATCCACTACAGAAGAAAACATCAAGTGATTACAACTATAAACCTAATTAAACGTATACAACAAGAATGTGGATTTCCCATAGGTAGTTATACACAAACTGTAAAAATTAAGTAAAAGTAAATCGTAATTACAATGTGAGGAAAGTAGCATGGGAATTTAGTGCTGAGTAAGCAGAAAAGTAAGGTCTTCGAAGAGTTCATGAGGAGATCCTGTCTCTGGTTTCCAACTGCAAGCAAACACAGTCAGGTCAAACATTCCCTGAATGGCTAGCCATGTAGTTGGGGGAGCCAAGGTGAATTTATCCTCAGTCCTCCAACAGTGTCTTCCCCTCCTTGTTGGCCACTGTTGCCATTTGCTCAGCTGCCACAACAAAGTACCACAGGCTGGGTGGCTTAAGTAACAGATCAAGATGCTGGCCAATTCAGTTCCTGGTGAGAGCTTTCTTCCTGGTTTCCGGCAACCAGCTGCCTTCTCACTATGCACTCATGCGGCAGAGACAGTGCTCGGCTGTCTCTTCCTTTTTTTTTTCCTTCCCATAAAAACACCAACTCTCCCTTATGACCTCACTTAACCTTTATTACCTCCTGATAGACTCTGTCTCCAAATATAGTCACATTTGGCCATTAGCGCTTAGACATATGAATTGGGTGGGGGGGACACAAATATTCCATCTATATAACAGCCATCATGCATTAATTAGATTTTTTTTAAGTTTATTTATTTAAGAGAGAGAGAGATAGAGTGAGAGTGAGCATGAGCAGGGGAAGGGAAGAGAGACAATCCCGAGCGGGCTCCGCTCTGTCAGTGCAGAGTCCCATGCAGGGCTCGATCTCACAAACCGTGAGAGCATGATCTGAGCCAATATCAAGAGTCAGAGGCTTAACTGACTGAGCCACCCAGGCGCCCCACAGTAATTAGATTTTAAATGACCCTAGAGAGCCATGAAGATAGCACTTAACCTCCTTAAGAAAATAAAGGAAATGTGTTTTAGCAACTTAAAATAGTTGAGAAGTGATTTGGACATTTACTAATATTATAGTTGCTTAGAATTTTGCTGCTAGTTAGATAACCATCCACAAATACAAACAGATTTTTTTTTTCCTTTTCACAAACTTGTCTCTGAATAATCAGCTTGCTGGTCTAGGATTTTATTCACTTATACAGACCACTGACTATTGTACTTCATTGATTTTTAAGATACATATTTTTCTCATCTTTAACATTTCAGGAGCTATCACAACTGATAGCATCCTATCACTGTAATTGGCAATGCTTTTCTTTCTCAGAAATACACAAAACAGCAGTCTGTCTCACAATTGATGGTCTTAGATTTGATAAAATAGGGTAGTTTGCAGGCACTGTTTTAAATTCTTTAGAAATACTTTCCTATGTAATCTTACAAAAATGCTATGATGTGGGTACTATTTTCATTCCTTTTGCACGTTTAGCAAAATGTACAAACATTAATTTGCCCAAGGTCACACAACTAGAAATTGAAAAATAGAGAGACATAAGCCCAGGCAGTGTCTGGACTGTCAAAGTGTGCAGGGGAAAGGTAGGAGCTGTAGTTAACTACTATTCCACTAAGTGGCGCCAAAATGGCATCTCCACCTCAGCCAATCACAAAAAATGGCTCAGTCTCCCACTGAAAACCTCTTTCTTCCATGAGGACAGTGTCTGTAGGACTCTATACAGTCACTAGGTCTAGTTGTCTGTGTACTGATAACACTGGACTGTGGTCTTGGAGTAAGAATAGCCCTCATTTCTTTATAACCTACAGTTTCTGGCGGAGGCGATAAGTCTTCAGAAACGAGTTCTTAAAAGTACTTAAGGAACGAGAGCAGAAGACAGGAATCCATTGTGACCTTGATGCACAAAAACCACAGATTGTACTTGCTTGAGCAGTTCATCTTGTATTAGCCAGGGCTCTAAGAAACTGGCTCACGTGCTTATGGAAGCTGAAAATTCCTAAGATCTTTAGGGTAAAGGCACTAAGATGGAGATTCCCGGGAGCCAAAAGTTCAGTTCAAGTCTGAGCCCAAGGGCTTGATGAGACCCAAGAGAACCCATGTTGGCATTCCAGCTCAACGAATGGAAGGCTCAAAACTCAGCAAGAGCTGATGTTTCAGCTTGCAATGGCAGGAAAAGATTAATGTCCCAATCCATAGTCAGGAATAATTCCCTCTTACTCAGGGGAAAATCAGCCTTTTTGTTCTACTTAGGCCTTTAACTGATTGGATAAGGCCCACCCACATTAAGGAGGGAAATCTTGACTCAATCTATCAATTTGAATGCAAAACTCCTCCAAAACACCCTCAAAAAACACACAAAATAAAGTGTGACCAAGTACCTGGGCACCCCATGGCCCAGTCAAGTAGTTATATAAAATTAGCCACCATAAACATCACACAACTATGTAGTGTAGTCCTGTTACTTGGGGGAAAAATGAAAGCTTTTAAAACAGACAAGAAATTTTCATAGTAAACTCACTTTTCTAGAAAAGTACAGGAGGGATGCGTTGCACAATAAGATTGGGACCAACGAGTGGCCACTACCAATAAATTCACTTAAAGATACATCTCCCTCTTCAGCAACAGGAAACATTTTGGTTGGGGATCCATCTTGAAAAC